AAAAAAAAAAACCATATAATGCTATTCTAGGGAATTGTGTGCTTCTAATTTTATAGCATTAGTTTGAACAGGACCATTTTCTATTCTAACACAAAAATGCCTCTGTGTATAAGGCAAGGTAAAAAAAAAAAAAGAAAAAAAGATTGATTCAGTCAGTGTGGAAGAACTTGACTGGTCTGCAGAAAGCCAAGTCCTAATCCCAGCTGAACACCTCTGGTGTGACTTTAAATGCGGACCTTAAGCCAAAAACTCATCAGTCACCAAACACCTGTGACTTGTACATACATATGGACAAATGTATTGGGACACACCCTTCTTTAAAACAGAAAAAGGCACTTCCAAAACTGTGTCATCAAAAATGGAAACATAATACATGTATTTAAAAATTGTATTTCCATCTTTGTTGCCACAGTTTTGGAAGAACATTCCAACCGGAGCTACTTCTCTAAGTTTATGTCTATGGCGATTCACGCAGGTATGTTACTCCACTGCGGTGACGACCCGACCAGGCTACAATAATCCAAATATAAATACTTATTACCGTAGTGATTCGGAATAAGACAAAAACGCGGTTTGGAAGATGAATTCATGATGTACTCGCTAATTATATACATTTTGCAAATTTTGAACACATAAAAATTTACATAGTGCTGCTTTAAGCTAATAGTCACATTTAGCTGAGTAAGATCATCCCAATACTTTGGGCAATATAGTGTATGTTTGGTGCGGTAGGGGGCCCAACCTCATCTTTCATGCCCAAAATTGCTAGCGGCGCCCCTGGTCAGTAGATCAGTAAGATCTTAAAACGAGCGGTTCATTCATAAATTTGTGAGATCTCTGTGGAAATATACAACCGGAAGACAACAAACGCAGCACTAAAAAAGGGGGGCCTACATTAGAAACAGATTATGTATCATATATCATGTGTGAACTTTTTTATTTAGTGTATAGTTTTAAATAACTTAATCGATACATAATTTTTAATAGCCTACTTCTACTACAATAGTAGCTACTATATAGGCTCTCTATTATGATTTATATTGAAATATAATAATAATTTTTTAAAAGATTTATTTTTGCCATTTTTACCTTTATTAACATAGGACAGTGTAGAGCTGACAGGAAGCAAAGTGGGAGAGAGACATGGGGGCGGGATCGGGAAAGGTCCTCCAGCCAGGATTCGAACTCGGGACACCCCTTTCGCAGCTGCTCTAGCTATATGTAGGTGCGCTGCCCACAAGGGAAATATAATTATTTTACTGGATATCACTACTACTACTACTACTACTACTACTACTACTACTACTACTACTACTACTACTACTACTACTACTACTACTACTACTACTACTACTACTACTACT